CCCCCCCCCCCCCCCCCACACTCCTCCATTGATCACATCAAACTGGCAGCCAAGCTTCTGTGCTGTCCAGGTTGGTCACGCGCTGCAGCATGCTATTGTGGAACTGGCGGCGATCGACGGTGTAAAGGATATCATTTTTCTCGAATTGCGGGAGGTCATACAAGGTCTTTGCTTCAAGCCGGCTGGCCGGCGCTGCCTTCTTTGGCGGCTGCTTCGGGGCAGTCTCCGCAGCTTTGCCCATGCCTGCCAATCAAGTGAGCTCATCGCAGCGTGGGTATGAACATGCACCAAGAAACGCTACAAAACAGGCCTTGACCCTGGCTTGGTTGTCGGCGATACGACTTAGGAGCAGCACTCTTGGCTGGCGGTGGGCTCGGAGTTGGGGCTGGAAGTGAGGGCGCACCTGACTCCACGGGAGGCGGGGGTCGTTGGTTGCGAGCTGCAATTCCAGGAAGGGGCGGCGGGCGGGGTCCAGGCTCGGTTCGAGCTGAAGGCGGTCGTGGCGCCGGGGCTCCGTACATGAGGCTACAAGCAGAGAGCACAACCCTTTTCAGTGAATCAAGGTCCTTCCCTGAGCCGAGCGGCGCTAGGCGCTGCACTGGCAGTAGCACAACGCTGGCAGTGAAAAGCCGCTTCATGATCATGGTGTCTAGTCAAAGGCATCATTTTCAAACTGCACGCACATTGTCATTCGTCAGCATCCACATCCATGTTGGACAGAATCTCTTCGCATGAGAAATCATGGCAATTCATGCGGCTACACAAAAGCATGGCGCCTGCAAAGGCACCGACCGCAGCAACATGCATGGAGTTTCCTAGAGCACGCCTCCAATCGAACCAGCTCAGAGCGAAATCTGGACTGTACACGTTGAGCAGGTGTGTTTCAGGCAAGTGCGACTGCTCAGCCGCCAGTGGATGGCTGGGGTAGCCCATGCTCAGAAACATTTCCATCATTGTGAGATGTCTTCGCCACGCCGGGGCAAAGTAGAGACTACCAGATTTTCTGATAGTCGGCAGGGCATTGCTGTGCGCAGACCACGTTGTCCAGCCGCCTGCGGGGTTGTCTCCTACATGCACCACAAGGTTCTCCCACTGAGACTGATCGCAGCAATCAAGCTTCGAAAACTTGTCGACGTAGGCTGCTACGTGCTTCTGCTCGGACTTCGTCAACAGCATATTCGCAGACCCTCGGGCAGCTGTCTTTGCCAGCAACTCAGCATCCTCACGAATTTCCGCCGCAGACGCCACGAGCAAGGAACGTGGCCTGTGCTCCACACGCAGGCAATCACCAACAACATGTCTACCAAGAGGCAGCCAAGGAACGTAATTGGCGTCCGCTCACGCCGGCAGCAGTGGCAAAGGTACTCGAAAAGAACACCTGGATCCTGAGCGCAATCTGTAGTGGCCTGGTGGACCGCGCCCATGTAGAGCCTGGGCAGCTAGGCAGAAGCCATTAATTGGGGATGTCACATGCAACCGGCAACTGAAAGCCATCTGCTGATAAAGGGCCTTTTGCGACTGGTGCACTCGAAGCCAACTTGCGCTGGACTGAAAACTGAAGTAGCAGCCCACTGGTAGCCGGGAAAGGTGTTCAGCACAACTTCACGGGGGCAGCTTTGCACATTCTCAATGACAAGCACCGGATTTTGGGTCAGTGAAGTCTTTCTTCCGAAGCTGGCGATGACAGGTGCTTGAGGGCCTACATCCCCCTTCATGAGGCCTGCTTGCGAAAAATCTTGGCAAGGAAAGCCCCCTACCCGGCTACCGGCTGTCGTGTTCAAGGCACAGAATTGCCTGTGCTGCACGCACCAGGCGGAGTCCTCACAGTGAGCTTCCTGCGCCCACAAGACCTTCTCCAAGTAGGTGTCACACGCATTCATGGCATTGCGCGCAGGCGCGGCACCAAGAGAAAAGATGTCAAGAATATCATTGAAAATGCAGCAACTGCTTGGCACTCTCCGCTGCAAAGCCTGCTGCATCTTTGAGTCAATCTCCTGGGCACGTGTTTACTAAGGACATGCTTGTCTAGCAAAACATCCTTTCATTAACAGCGCAGAAATTCAGACAAGGGTCACACACCGTACGTGGAGCCAAATCTACTTGCCAGCCTCTAACATTCGCCGCCGCATTGATGAAGTGGCAAGCTGTCTCCCAGCCAGCCGCCCCTCCGGAAAAATCTGAGTCTGTTCCTCTGCCCTGAAAGAGCACAGAGCGCTCAAGCACAGCATCAGACATCATTTGGCGGGCGCAATCGAGCAGCATGCCCGCCCAGCAAAAGCGACCACCGAGCGCGTCGGACATACTTCCTACTGAGTGCCTAGCAAGGCCTTGATTTTGACTTGCAGAGATCAGCTTCAGTTAACGGCAGAGTCTACCCTCAGCACGTGAATGAAAACAGGACTGCATGCATCAGGGTAAGCAAGGCATCATTCAACCCAAACCCAGCACTCGCTCCGCGCCTGGAACGGCAATGATGTACCCGCCGTGTACTCGGGACACCACGCCACATAGAAGTTTGCTTTCTTCTTGGTGGGGTTGCCGCCGTCCAGGAGCACCTGCGCGACAGATGAAGGAGCAAAATGCTGCAAACCATTTTGCGCTGTAAAGGGCAGAGTTCGAGACCTGTAGGTAGCACGCTTCCCGGAGCTCAAATCGGTTCCGGCACAACATCGCAGACTGGAAGTCCTGGGTCAGTGCGGAACATATGTTCTGTTGCAGCGCAATGGTTGGTGGTTTCACAGGGCTGTCCTGGAATATGCGCTTGGCAAGGCTTCGATTGTAGCCCAAGTGTTCAAGCGCGCCTTCCAGGGTCGCCTTCTCCCCACTGCGCACTAAACTAACAGACTGTTCCTTCACTGCACCGTGCAGTTTTCTGCCCTTTCGCACATCTTCATGCTGGTCCCCTTGACCCCTAGGCTTAGCATACTCGTAGAGGGTCTGAGACATGAGAGCTGTGCATTGGGCAGCGATCCGATAACCGCACTCTAGGCATTGCTGGTGTTGGTCTGCTCCAGCGAGAAGTAAAGCTGCAAGCAGCTCCCCAACAGTCAAGCAAGCCTCAGCACGAGCATGCCACACGTGGCCAGGCTTCAGATTCAGCTGTTTAAGGCGTTTCAAACCCTATACACTTGTATGACCTTAGCCCGGCACCCTGTCGGAATGAATGACCTTGTCCTTCTGCTCATCCCCAGCAGTATTCTGAATCAGGGAACGCAGCCACGAGTCAAAATCGACCCACCAACCTTTCTCCACCAACCTGGCCAAACTGATATCCTCAAGCAAGCACTGACCATTCCTGACAGGAACTTCGTGCTCATCATCTAGGCGGAGACTTGTCACAGTTGCAGTCCCGTCGCACAGCGGACGGAGCCAATCACGGAGAACCTGGGCAGACCTGCAAGTGATTTTTTGAGGTTCAGCTACCACAGTTCTGCGGCTACAATCTTGCAAAAGAGTTTCAGGCAAGATTCTTCTTGCGGAGTTCAAGATCCCGTCGGGTTGCAGATGTCCAGTGCACTAATTGACACATCAGAGAACTTGTGGGACACACAAGTTCTTCCACATGGCCATCGAGTAGCTCATCTGGGATCAGGGCTGAGCATCTTTTTGCAGCACGCCTACCCTCCGCTCGGCACACCTAAGTTGAGAGCAGCACGGCGCTCGAATCCCCACGCTTAGACCCCTGGAGCATACTGAGACACTTGCTACCCAGGCTGGAGGTAGGTCAAGAGCAGGAAAGAGGTAGCCCCAAACAACAGCGAGCTGCTTTTTGATTTTCTCTAGGACCGCGATGTAGGACCTTGCAGGGACTTCTTGGGCTACATAGGGATACGTTTCAGTTATAACCTTAGAAATGTTGACAACTCCGGCTTGCTGACTCGGGTGGTGTGACACTTTTCGAAGCAAGGCTGCACGGACCACAGCACCTCTTGCGTGGACTCCACGTGATACAGCGCTTGCAGTTGAAGAACACCAGTGGGTTCTTTCGTCAAAGCATGGATGACATCTGCCATGCGAAGGAAAAAGATGCTGCTACAATTCTGCTTTCTGTGGCTTTACTTGACTGAAGTTATGGCTTCCACGGTTCTCATGTGCAATTCCTGGGTCGGCTGTGTTGGCACTCGCTGAGGGCCTGACAGGTCAATCGCGCATGCACAAGTTGCCCAGCTCCCTGTCAGACCGCCCCCGAAACCTGGGGGTAATGTTTAGGTGCATCATAAAGCCCCTTAGATTCAAACCCCTGCACACGAGAAAAGCTAAGCCCAACACGATCCAATTCCCTACAACCCCCTAAAATCTCGCTACCCCCCCTAGCAAGCCCCTAGGCCCCCAGCAAAATCTCACCCCCAAAGCCGACCTCCACTCGGCTCCAATGCCCGCCACGTAACACCGTCGCGGAGTCCGACTGCAGCCTTGACTGCCATGCTTCACTAGTTGAGAGTGAGGGGCGCGATGTTTCGCTAGGGATCCATGCCCCATCCCAACTACGCCGTAGTGGGGAGCGGTACGGAAGAAGACACCTGCTCTGAAAACCAAGCAGACTAATTTACGGGCCTACAAAATTGGATTCGGTCTTTGGGGCATGTTATATTTTGTACTTCTAAAGGGAATGTTAAGGGAATATGCGGGCAATCACCAGGCATCTACGCTACAACCATGCTAGCCACCACATGCGTCAGGGTTGAAGTTTCTAGGGTTCACGCTTAGAAAAATGGATGCTTTAAAAGGGACGGTCGAGTTTTAGAAATGCCCATATTGAGTCCATGCGCTTCATGAGGGATCCAGCAAGGAATCTGCAAGGGGCAATGTCGTGTATGCGTATACATACATATAGCATGTAGATGAGGTAGATGAGTTCTACACACATGACGACCCTCAGCGCAGCCATCACTGCCACAACAATCCTACGCAGTTTTTGTACATACCTTAGACACTGAACCCAAAACCCGACCCTGCAACCAATGGCCTAAACCCCAGTCCGAACTCTAGATCTCAACATCCGCAACACACGTGAAGCTTGAGGCATTTTCCCCTGCTAAAGCGGCATCTTCTTGCCAGTGCTTGTGTCGAGTCAATATAGGGACTACTATGGAAATACCTCTGTCCAAGTAATATTGTTGGGATCCACTCCACCAAGCCCACCAGCCTAAAAATCATTCGGACGCAGAACCTACCATGCCCCTGCATCATGGTTCAGAAGTGTATTATGGTTGGTAGTTCACCAGTTCTTGACAAAACCCAGCAGACTCATCAACAGTAAGCCCCACCCCCTAATATAAAGCCTTCCCGAAATATCAAAATACAGGGTCTGGGGTTCAGGATCGGGAATATTTAATGTTGGAGAGGGAGGGGCGGGGGATTCTTTTAAAGAAATGGGGCTAATCCGTGAATAGCCCTGCGTCACCCTAGTTTCCAATTCATTTTTCATGTGGTTTTCCGTTTCGTTCTCCACTGTTGGGCTAGAATCCCTGTGTAATACTTACATACCCCTTTAAAGGGACCTAGGGTTTCCATTAATTTTCATGTGTCTTTTGAATGTGATTCTCCAATATTGGGGACGAAAATAAACCCTAGACCCTGATAGGCGTTTCCATTTTCTTTTCCATTATCTCCATATAACCCCTATATAACCCGTAAAGAACTCCCATAATACCTAAAAAGCAGTTTCCATGCTCTTCTCCACTTTCCTTACTACGCACCAGTAAATGCTTTCGCTTCTCCGAGCTGCTTCTTGAGCGAGTCTAGCGCCTCTCCAGTGCACCACAAAGGAAGTGGAATAGGGTTTAGGGTTTATGGATGGATCTTACATATATAGGGGTTATGTGGGATTATATAGGGGAGTTATAAACGTTTAAAAACACTTTCGGAAGACAGGATTAGGTAAACCATCACATACATATTAAGCATAAAGCATAGTCAGAATATACGGATAACTGGAATGAGAAGTGTATGCCTATGCGCTGTGGAGCCAGGAAATCAGCAGATATACTATATACTGGAATCCCTCGATTTATATAAGGAAGACCCTTGACATCGTGAAAACATGCGTTTTCACGTATGTTTAAAGCTCCAGGCCCCACAGCGCACCCTTCTGTGTAGGGGTGGGGGGGGTATTTTACAGGGATCTTACATGGGGGTTATCGGGGGCAATATATAGGGGAGTGTTTTCTTTGCATGTACAGGGGTTTGGGGCTATGCAGAAATTACTAACTCATTAGCCCACTTGGAGGGTCAGTGGGTTATGGGGGTTGGGGAAATTTGGGGTTTAGGGTACGGGGTTCGGAGCTTGGGGTTTGCTCGTCAGGGCTGGGTGTTTGGGTTTTCAGGCTTCAAAAAAATATTTCCAAAGCCTGAAATAAGGTCAGCTTGGGATTCTGTCTTTATGTCTACCACCAACGTTGAGAGACATCATCATAATTTGTCCGGGTCTCGGTCTATGAAAACTACCATCCAACATGGCCATCGGCGATAGGCTAGTGGAAGCCTCAGTAAAATACTGAGAGAAAACCTAAGATTGCATAAAGTATGTGCAGGGATCACGTCGAAGTTACTACATGGTGCAGTATCTTCTGTGTTCCAAGTAAATGAGAATAAGTACATGATAAATAACACAGAATGCGGATCCACCGATTGGGTTTCAATCGGTGGGGCTTAGGTCTTACCAGTTCAGCTCTCATCCTTTCCCTTACGCCACAATCAACCACTTGAAGCTTCAGAAGCGTAAGCTCGAGGGTTCCCAAAATAGCACCAGCTGCCGGGGCTGGGGCTGGGTGGTGATCCGTTGACGCGAAGGAACATGCCCAAAACCTGAAGCCCGAAACTGAAACCCTGAAAATTCATGAGTCGCATGCTTCGCGTGAACTCTGAATACTACATCCTGAACAAGCTGAACCCAGTCTCAACCCCTGCGCCTTCTCTGCATTGGACTCCTGCCAAACTCCCACGCAGGCCTCATGGGCTTTTTACATGAGCTTACTGCAGAAACCTGAATCACGAAAGGTACTGAAACAGGCTTGGGGTTCTTCCGTCAATCACGCACGAGAGAACGATAGAATGTTGAGGTAAGCAGCTCCACCAGCGGAATTGGAAGGAGCAGTACACTTGCTTGAGCTGGTTGAAGGAGGGTCGATTCGTGGCCATCTGACTATTGCCGTGAATGCACTGCACTCACTATCTGCGAGAATGGGGTTCTGGTCAATATGGCACCCTTGGAACCTAGGGACATGTGTGGATAGTATGGAGATCATACTATAGCTGTCCTC